CAACAATGAATGGCTGAGGCTGTGAAATGGCTTCGTGGAATGCGGCATTGCAATGCATCATGTTGACAACAGGCATGCTTGATAGTTTCTTCTTACAAAATGAACAATGGGAGTGTATCAGAAATAGGGAGACCTCACAATTCGACCTCCTGGAAGAAGGAAAATAGGCGGGCGGTGTCTCCGACGGTGTCTCCCAAACATGACGCAAAGGACGACCCACACATGCCGAGAAAGGATGATGCCTCCGCATCTTCGGTGGCCGGGCGATCATCCTCGCCTCCATCGGTCAAAGGTCAAATCTCGTTCGAAATTGGGCGAACATCCAATTGGCCTCGAATCCATCCACCCTGAACTCTGACATGTTTAAACCAACCTCTTTCTCAAAATACAGCTCGCACTCTCAAGTCGTTCTGCCTCTGGCTGTCATGGCGTGGTACTTTCCGCGGCATCTGTCACCTGGAGACGGTCGAACCGTCGATCTCGTTTTCCGCGAGAGAAGACATGCTCCAGGACTCCAAGAGAGAGGACATGACATGGTCAACCTGAGTCAACCTGGTCAACCTACAGACGCTACGAACGGGTCCTGGCCTTGCTACGAACGGAGCGATCGGACGCTAACCTGGTCAACCTACCAGGGTTTGGAGCTGGTGCCACCCACTGCCACGCTTGAAAATGACACTGCTCGGGCTAGTAGGCAGCATGTCCCACCTCTATTGCAGTTGGTGATGATTTGTTACCCATTCCACACCAAGTCTTCCAAAATAGTTGCTGGCAATTGGAATGAAAGTATACAAACACGTCAGCAATGCTACACAAGCGGAAGGTCTGCACGTCCAAGTCTTAAATAGGTTCTATCTTCCTATAAATTTTGGTTTATGACAAAGTGGGCAAGTATCACAAGGCTGTTGGGCCTGTTGGGTGTATTCATGATGTCCCAAATGCAAACATCCCGGCGGAGGAAAACCGCGCGCGTGGTTGCGTCATCTTTGACTTCGTCTCAAAGTGTTCAGAACCTCCGAAACTGATGCGTTTGACACATTTCTATTGGGCAAAGGTCTCAAAATCAGCGCAATTCCACTGGGATTCAGTTTCATGTGTTCTTTCTTTGTGTGGTTACGATCATCTGTCATGAAAACAAGCTCAAAAGTTGAACCGTTATTTCGTGTGTTTCCATTTTCGTGGACAACGAAAGAAAAGGACGAAGACGGACTTGCTCGGAGCTTTGCTTTTGCACGACAGCCTTCAGGCTTTGCGAACGCCGCGTCTACGGGTCGGTACCGACCCGTCCCGATCGACAAACACATGTGGAAGCGACCAAAATGAGAGCGAAACGGTCACCACATGTGGAACCGGTGCACACGTGCCACGTTGGCTATACGCACGCATGTCATTCCTCACCACCCCACCCACACCAACGAGTACCTGAGTCACACCAACATGAATTCGGCAAATCCCAGTAGAACTGCGACGAAAAGGACAGAAAATTGACAATGATGTCATAGCAGCCAGTACAGGTGGACATGTAAAACGTACATAAACGCTGGAATTTACAACAACAATGACATCTTATCGACATGATGTATGTCCCAGCATGTCAGCGAACCTGAGTCATGGTGAAAAATGCGCACGACTACACGTACGGTTTTACTGCCGTTGGCACAAACATGCACCATAATGCTTCCAGCAAAGTGTTGGAGCTACACTAGCAAGTCTCAAAAGACTTCCTTCCAGTTTGCTTCCCGATTGCACAAGCAACTACTAGGAGCAAGAAGCTACTAGGGAGCAAAGGGCAACGCTACTAGGAGCAAGAAGCTACTAGGGAGCAAAGGGCATCGCTACTAG